AGAGGCTTCCCAAGAGGGCCCTGGGAGGCAGGATTCAGTAATTTTCCTATGATTTTTGAAGGATTTAGGCGTTCTCGCTTCCCCCGCTTCCCAGCGCTCCCTCACGGCCTCGCTCGGAGGCCCTTCAGATCGCTCCAAGACGGGCCACGAGGCCCGGAAGAGGGCCCCAAGACGGCCCAGGAGGCTCCCCAGACAACCCTTCTGTGCCCCAAGAGCTCCCCAAGAGAGGGCCCAGAAGGGGACCGCCAACAGATATTTCGAGGTTTTTGGCCCTAGAGGCCGCCTGTAGGCCCCTTGAGGCCACCAGTAGGCTCCCACGAAGCCCCGTGAGGCGCCCAAGAGGCCCCAAGGGACGCCCCAAGAGACCCCCAAAGGGCTCCCAGGGAACGCCCAAGAGGCCCCGCAACACACCCCAACAAACCATGTCCCCAGAAAACCTTCCGGGGACATGGTTCATCATGGGCCCGAGAGATCCCCGAGGCCCCCAAGGGGCCCCCAGGGAACGCCCAAGAGACCCCCCAACACACCCCAACAAACCATGTCCCCAGAAAGCCTTCCGGGGACATGGTTCATCATGGGCCCGCGAGTCTCCGGAGGCTTCGAAGTACCATCATGCTACAGGAGAGCTGTCTGGGAAGTTGATTGGGAACATGACTGATCGCCTTCTCGCGGCCCTCCGCAGATCGTTTCGCACAAAGTTGCCCCAAGTGCCCTTTTGAACCTACGACGACGACGAAACGACGAAGACGACGACGACGACGACACCGACGACGACGACGACGACGACGACGACGACGACGACGACGACGACGACGACGACGACGACGACGACGACGACGACGGCGCGCCCCAATAGGCGACGACGACATTACCACGACGACGAAGACGACGGCACGCCCCAACAGGTTCCCCAAGACGCCCCCACACCCATGCTCCCAGAAGGCCTTCTGGGAACCCGATTCATACGGCCTCCGCCCCCCTACACAACCATTTTCCTCGAAGGTCTTTCGGAATGCAGATTGGCATGCGTGGACTGTGATCCACTACTTCAGTGGAGCAATGAATTCGTCAAGGTCTGGGGCCTGCTAGAACCTGAGCGCGCGCGAAGCGCGCGCGATGGTTCTAGTATGTATATATATATATATATGTATATATATATGTGTGTGTGTATATATATATATATATATATATATATATAGATGCATTGCTGTACAGGCCCAGCGGGGGGGCGTTGTTTCTCTGCTCTGCGTTCCTGGTAGACCGCCGTAGTGACAATCCGAGGCTTACGGGAAGGTCTCAGCCCCCCCCCAAAAAAAGCTCCGCCATGCTCCGACCTCCCCTTGCTCAGTCCACTCGCACTCAGACCCGCGAGGAAGGGAGGCCGACACCTACGCTTCCGGCACCGGTTCCAGCGAGTCCGGCTTCGAATAATCCCCATCCGGCGGTTTCGCTGGGCACATCGTTACGGCATCGCCCCGCAGACCTGTGCCGAGAAGGCCTTGAGAGGAGGGGGAAGGGGGGGAAGGGGGGAATGGAGGGCGAAAGAGGGGGAGAAATGATCGCGATTCCCCGGAAAATATGGGAAAGTATGGAGAGTGGAGGGGAAGACGAAAATCCAGACCATATTGAGCACTGGGCAGAAATAGTTTGATTTTCGTGTGTCCCAGAGCGGGCCCCATTATGTGTGTAAGAGCCATACGAGTAGGAAGAAGTGTTGGGTAGTCGTAAAAGGAAGAGGGGAGGAGGGGGGGAGGGGGGAGGAGGAAGGGGGGAAGGAGCGGGGGGAGAGGGGAACACAGGGGTGCAGTACAATCACGCGTCCCCGATCGACTGAAGAGTGACTGCTACTCGTACTTCGACTCACTCGCACTCAGATCAATCCATATTCAGGCCACTCATGCTCGTGCTCTCTATTGTTCTGACTCGCTCACGCTCGCTCACTAACACTCTGACCGATCATATTCAGAAGCACCCACTCAGATCCACTCACGCTCAGACTCCTCACAGTCTGACTTTCTCGTACTGGACTGCTCACGCTCAGGCCAGCTTGCACTCACGTTCCCCTCGTGGAACTTGGGCCTCCCAAGGGAGGCCTTTCGGGGGTGTTCACCACAGCCCGTTCGCGCCCAGTCACTCGAGACCTGTCCTGTAGAACGGCCGTTTTGGCAGGGTCAACGAATCTATCTTCAGATCCCCATGCTCATCGCTATGTAGCTGGCATGACACGTGGGCCTCCCAAATGGGACCCGCCAGAGAGTATCGAAGACGCCTACGATGAATCACCGCCGCCCCCTGCCTTTTGGAATTGCCCATGTGGCCGAACGTTGTGGTCAGAGCTCTTCCAAGCTATCGGACCATGTGCCCCCCCCCAGCCGTTGTGGAAACCCTTCGGGGAACACGCGGGGGAGAAAGAAGAATCGGAGGAGAGGGAGGAACACTACAGAGTCGGAGAAGGAGTGGGAGAAGGAGTCGGAGCAGGAGCAGGAGAAGGAGGATGAGGAGGCGGAGGAGGAGGACGAGGAGGAGGAGGAGGACGAGGAGGAGGAGGAGGAGGAGGTGGAGGGCAGGATGATGAGGAGGAAGAGGAGGCGGAGGAGGCTGAGGTGGAAGAGGAGGAGGAGGAGGAGGAGGAGGAGGAGGAGGAGGAGGAGGAGGAGGAAGAGGAGGCGGAGGAGGCTGAGGTGGAAGAGGGAGGAGGAGGAGGAGGAGGAGGAGGAGGAGGAGGAGGAGGAGGAGGAGGAGGAGGAGGAGGAGGAGGAGGAGGGGGACACGTGGGGCCTCCTGGGAGCTTCCTGCGGGCCTTTTGGAGGCCTCTTGGACGCCTCCTTCCGCCTCTTGGGGGCTTTGTGGAGTTTCTTGGGGGACTCTGGGGCCGTCTTGGGGCGTTCCTGGCCCGCCTGACGCTGTCGGAAGCCGTCTTGGATGCCTCTCTGAACCGACTTGGTGTCCTCTTGGGGCGCTTCAGAGCCGTCTTGGAGGCCATCTTGGGCATCTTGGAGGCCCCTTGGGCCGTCTTGAGGCTCTTTTGGGGCCGCCTTGTGGGCCTCTGGGGCCGTCTTGGAGGCCCGTGGGGCCATCTTGGGGCGATCTTGGGGGCCTGTTGGGCCGTCTTGGGCCGTCGGAAGGCCGAGAAGACGCGACGGGCAACATCCCTCAAACACGTAAGGATCATCAATGATTTTGGCCTCTTCGGGCCCTCCTGGAGGACCTTTTTCCATGCCTCTTGGGCCGTCTTGGAGGCCTCTTGGGGGCCTCTTGGGCCGTCTTGGAGGCTTTGTTAGGCGAACTTGGACGCATCTTGGACGCTCTTGGGTCGTCTAAGAGGCCATTTTGGATCATCTTGGGCGAACTTGAAGGCCATCTTGGCAGTCTTGGAGGCCATCGTGGGCCATCTTGGGGTCCTCTTGGGGCCGCCTCGGGGGCTTCCTTGGCCGTTATGGAGATATCTTGGAGGCCGCGAGGGCCACCTGGAAGCGATCTCGGGGGCCTCTGAGGCCGTCTTGGACAGTCGCAAATGCCAACATGTTTCAAAACACCTGGAAGTCCTCTTCCAAGCCTCTTGCGCCGTCTTGGAGGCCTCTTGGGGGCCTCCTTGAGCCGTCTGGAGCCTCCTGGGGTCCCTTTAGAGGCTTCTTTGGGTCTTTGGGGGGTCTCGTGTGGGCCTCTTGGGTCTCCTGTGGACCTCTTGGGGAGAAGCGCTCGAAAGGTCAGCTCGTGCTCCCCCTCTGCGATCCCTCATGGGGCGTCCTAGGGGCCCTTTGAGCCGTCTTGGAGGCCTCTTGGGCCGTCTTGGGGGGCCTCTTGGGCCGTCTCGGCGCCCTGTTGGGGGCCTCGTGGGCCATCATGGGGCGATCTTGGGGGAACCGCCCAAATTCTCCAAACACCCAAGGAAAAAAGCAGTAAGGTTTGCCTCTTTGGGCCCTATTGGCAGTGCTCTTGGAGGCCTCTTGGGCCGTCTTGGAGGCCCCGTCAGGAGGCTATCTTTAGTGTCTTGGAGCGATCTTTCGGCGGATCGGAGCCATCTTAGGCAAAGTGGAAGGTCCAAGAGGTTTTTAGGCGGGCACGGCGTCCAGAACTCACAGAAGACATCCCAGAAGATCACGGAAGACCCTGGGATGGCCTGGGAATTTAGAGCTTCAAGCCTTGAGGACTACAACCCTGGCTGCAGCAGCAGTACGGCTGTGAGCCTTGGGGCGCTCCGTTTCGTGCCGGAGGCACGGTGGCGGATATCACGGGCCCGCTCGCGCCCGGTAAGTCGAGATTTGTCTTCTAGAGCAGGCGGCTGTTTTGGCGGGGCAGACGAATCTCTTTTCATAGCCCCATGATCATCGCCATGTAGCCGACATGGCATGTGGGGCGTCCCAAGGGGACCCGCCAGTGAGTATTTCCTGGGCCTCTTCGTGCTTAGATTTGTCGGGACCTCTCGGGCCGGCTTTTGCCTTGGCGAGGTAGACGCGCCTTTTTTTCAGAGCGCCGTGATCATCGCGTTGTAGCAGGCATGGCGCTGGAGCCTCCCACGGGGGACCCGCCAGGGACCAGGGGGGTTGTGTCACGAGCTCGTTCGCACCCACTGTGTAGGCCAGACTCGCTCCTACTCAGACGCATTGATACCCAGAAGCTCAGAAGTTGAAGCGCTAGGTGTCGGTTGTGTTTAGCTGAGGATTTGCTTCAATGCGTGGGCCCAAGAGCTCTCGACCTGTTCCTGGAGATTGCGTTTTCGACGCGGATATGTATATATATATATATGTGTATATATATATGTATATATATATATATACATATGTATATATATGTATATATATATATATAAAGGTTGAGAATGATGGAAGCTTGTGCTAGGTTGTCTCCGATACGCTGGAAGTCGGGGTCCACTGCCAGAACTCCACTGGGGTGCGCTGCGCTTCGGCCGTGACTTCGACCCCGCCGTTGCGATGAGGAGCCTCCCAGAGGCCTCCCCGAAACGCTCCAGAACAACCAACAGAACCCCACGACTTCAACGCAGCCACCTCGGCTCAAGCCGCGCCGGTCCAGGATCACTCGAGGCTGGTGCCTTGCAGGTCGCCTCCCCCCGGCCAGTCCAGGTGTAAACGCCATGGCGCGCTCCGCGTCCCTGCTGGTTGCCTGCGCCGTCGCGGTGGCTTGGCATCGCTCGGACGTGTGCATTTTTCCTTCGGCGAGAACCATCGAGGAGCATCTTCGATCATTTGGCGAAGCACCACGCACGAAACCGAAAAAAACACAGGAAATGGACGTCCGAGCGATGGCCAGGTGGTCGCCGCCCTGTCGCTGGGCTCCCTCGTGGTGACCTTCGTCGGCGCCGCCTCCCCGGCCTCGGCGGGCCTCCGGACCAGCCAGCGTGCGCCCGCCGTGGAGATGCACTTCTTCGGCGGCCCGCCGGTGACGACCACGCCCCCGCCGCCCGTGGGCGGCCTCGGCCTGGACGCCGCGAACCGCGGCACGTACGTCGTCCTGATGACCATCCTCTTCTTCGGCTCCGTGGTCGCGAACGGCAACGGCTTCTTCGGCCCGTGGTGAGCTCGTGGGCGCAGCCTGCCGGGGCCTGCCGGGGTGGCCTCACGACGGCCGCTCTCTGCTCCGGCGCGGTGCTCGCGAGTGGCAGCGGCCTCTTGGGGCCGTGGTGAGCGCCGGGGCGGCGACGTGTGAGCGACGCAAAAAAAAAAAAACGGGGTCGTCTGCGCCGACGTCGGCGCGTGAGCTGCCCGCGTAAGCTCGCGCGTGGGCGCTCTCGTCTCCAATGCAGCGCGCCGCGCTGGCGGCCGCGCAAGCCACCGCGGAAGGTCGCCGTGCCATCTCGCGTAGGGCCCGTTTTTGGTCGTCGCTCATGCGGCCCAGCAGAGGCGACTCCTTTTGACGGCGCCATGTTTTTCTGTGCTGCTTGCGCCTTGCGTCCGTCTTCGGCGCTCTTCTCGGGGGCGGCCAAGAGGGGGGTGATGCCTAGGGGGGGGTGGATATCGTGGCGGGGGCTGTGATATCCCCCCAGATTTCATGACGCCTCTTCTCATTTCAGTACGTCCTCGGCCCCCCCTGGGCCGCGACGTGCCATGATTTGCGCCCCCCCCCCCCCCCCCCCCCCCCCCCCCTCTTGGACGCCCCCCTCTTGGCCGCCGCCGATCTTCTGCAGCCGGCACGAGACTCGTCAATTGACCGAGTCCGAGATGTAGAGAAGCAGCCTCACGATCCTCCTCGTCCTCCTCGTCTCACGATGAATATCGTCGATTCCCCGGGAAATATGGGAATAAAATATGGGAAGCGGTGGGGGAACGCGAGGATCCAGAAAATATGGGACAATATGGGGAATGCTGGGATTTGTGTTTATTTATTCTTTTGCACAGGGTGTCTAGAGCTCCGACCACTTTATTCTGGCACGGCACCCCCTCCATCCCCCATACATTCCGCCAGCCAGCGCGCCCCTCCGCCCCGACCCCTTTATTTCGGCACGGCACACCCCCTCCACACCCCCTCCGCGCCCCCCCCGCCCGCCAGCCAGCGCGCCCCTCCGCCCCGACCCCTTTACGTCGGCACGGCCAACCCCTCCGCCCCGACCCCTTTTATTTTGGCACGGCACATACCTCCTCCGCATCCCCCCACTCACCAGCCAGCGCGCCCCTCCGCCCTGACCTCTTTATTTCGGCACGGCACACCCCTCCGCCCCGACCCCTTCATTTCGGTACGGCACACACCTCCTCCGCACCCCCCCCACCCACCAGCCAGCGCGCCCCTCCGTCCTGACCCCTTTATTTCGGCACGGCACACACCTCCGCCCCGCAACCCCTTTATTTCGGCACGGCACACCCCCTCCGCATCCTCCCACCCACCGGCCAGCGCGCCCGTCCGCCCCGACCCCTTTATTTTGGCACGGCCGCCCCCCGGCATCCCCCCATTTACCAGCCAGTGCACACCCTCCGCCCCGCAACCTCTTTATTTCGGCACGGCCCCCATTCCCTCCCCGCGCGCTCACCCACTCACAAGCCAGCGCGCCCCTCCGCCCCGACCCTTATATTTCGGCACGGCACGCCCCTCCGACCCGACTCCTTTAATTTGGCGCGACACCGCCCTTTCCGCCCCCTCCGCGCGCGTCCCCTCCGCATCCCCCCCCACCCTTCAGCCAGCGCGCCCCCTCCGCCCCGACCCCTTTGTTTTGGCGCGGCACCGCCCCCTCTGCCCTGACCCATTCATCTCGGCACGGCACCGCACCCCCCACCCCGAGCGCCCCCTCCGCGTTCCCCCATCCACCAGCCAACGCGTCCCCTCCGCCCCGACACCCCCATCCCGAGCGGCCCCCTCCATCACCCCATTCACCAGCCAGCGCGCCCCCTCCGCCTCCGCCCCTTCCTTTCTGTGCCAGAACCATGGTGCGCGTGCCACTTGTTTCTGTGCCCCTGGGCTCCCTCCTCGTCGTCGGGCGGGAGCGGCGCGCGGCGCGGCCGTCGAGGCCCTGGCAGCGACGCCGCGGCGGCCGCGTGCGAGGAGACCGTGTGCATCGCGCTGTCCCCTGGGCCGGAGGCGGCCCGCATCACCGAGCGCGCTCCACTGTTCCCGAAGGAGAAAAAACACCACAAACCTAAATATTTGGCGTTCCGCGCGGATTTCTTGGATCCCCGCTGGGGCCCCCTGGCGGCGCCTCTGGCGCCGCCCCCGACGCGCTCCGCGCGCCAGGAAGGGGGGTCCAGTGTAGATCCAAAAAATCCGCGCGCAGCGCCAACAGTTTATGTTTCTGGAGTTTCTTGTTCTTCTAATCACGTAGCACCCTTCACTACTCGCAACGTGCCTAATTACTTGCAGACGTCCGAAAAATCTATTCTCGCTTCGATATATGGGATCGTAGATCCACCGCGGCGGATCCAGGCCATTTGCGAGTAGGCAGTTACTTTGCGAGTCGTGGAGCTCGCTTGTTTAATATATATATATATATATATATATATATGTATGTAACTGCAGCGCTCGCCCCCCCTCCCCTCGACGATTGCAACGAGTGTGGTTACGCCAGGGTGTGGTCCGCGATCTGCGTCGGTGGGCAGGCCGTTTGCGAGTAGCTACCTTGCGAATCGCAGAACGCGCTTGTTTACTGCAGCGCCCCCCCCTCTCGACTCCTCCTCCTCCTCCTCCTCGTCCTCGTCCTCCTCCTCCTCCTCCTCCTCCTCCTCCTCCTCTTCCTCCTCCTCCTCTCTCTCCCTCCTCCTCCTCCTCCTCCTCCTCCTCCTCCTCCTCCTCCTCCTCCCCTCCTCCTCCTCCTCCTCCTCCTCCTCCTCCTCCCCCTCCCCCTCCTCCTCCTCCTCCTCCTCCTCCTCCTTCCTCCTCCTCCTCCTCCTCCCGTCCCCCTCCTCCTCCTCCTCCTCTTCCTCCCCTCCTCCTCTCCTCCTCCTCCTCCTCCCTCTCCTCCTCCTCCTCCTCCTCCTCTTCCTCTCCCTCCTCCTCTCCTCCTCCTCCTCCTCCTCCTCCTCCTCCTCCTCCTCCTCCTCCTCCTCCTCCTCCTCCCTCCTCCTCCTCCTCCTCCTCCTCCTCCTCCCCCTCCTTTTCCTCCTCCTCCTCCTCCTCCTCCTCCTCCTCCTCCTCCTCCTCCTCCCGCAGCGGGTGTGGTCACGCCAGGGTGCGGTCTGCGCTCTGCGTCGGCGGGGGCCTCTTTTGGGGGGGACGCCGCGCTGCCCTCGTCGGGCCTCCTCGGGGCCGTCGCCGGCCCTCGCCCGCCCCTCGCCTGGGTGCGGGTGGCCCATCTCCGGCGGGTGAGGGGGGGGGCTGAAGCGAGAATCGGGAGGGGAAACACGCAGAGACACAAGTCATCGTCGACTCCCAGGAACATATGGGGAAATATGGGAAGTGGGGGGGAAGACGAGAGCCCAGAAGATATGGGAGCACATGGGGAATCCTGGGATTTGTGTCTATTTCTTTGTGTGTCCCAGGGCCCCTCCAGAGAAGGAAAAGCCCTTCTCAGAGGGCGGCGGGTCTTCTCCGAAGCCCTCACGCTTTCTGAGAAGTTTTCGGTGTCTTCGGGGAAGGCTCAGAACATCTCTCTCAGAAGGCCGGGGAACTGAGCCTTCTGAGAAGGCCCGCCCCTTCTCATTTCCCCCCCGGCGCGCCGCCTAGATTGGCAGACTGACTCCAGGATGGACCACAGGATGTGTCCAGGGACGCGTTCTGAGCGGTTGTGGCGCAGACCGCCATTCTGAGAGACTGGGGAGGAATCGCCATGAAGAAGAGGAACCCTGATGGAAAAGGGCCTCGTTTTTTGTGTTATATATATATATATATAGATATAAAAAGATTTTTGGTCCTTCCCGCGCCCCGGGACTGTAGGAACATGATCGACGATAAACACGCGGTCCTGGGGAGCCCCAGGACAGCAGGCGCCCGTTGCCCTCGGGACCCTCTCCCCGCCTGCCGTGGGAGCCCCGACCTTTGACCTTTGATGCTGCGGCTCTGCTTCTGCCCCGCGCCCTCCCAGGTCTCGGCCTCTGGTGGCCCCTTTCGGGCCCGATGCCATCGGATGCTGTCCCGTGATGGACCTCACGACTTACGTCGGGCATGCTTTTTTTACAGGGGGAAATGCAAGCATGGCCCAAAGATAGTCTGAGGACGGTTTTTTTCATGTTGTTGACTATTTGGAAGTCGTTTTTCGCAATTTTCCGTTTTCCGTTCAGAATCCGCCTGTAGGAGGACACGCCCGATCCAACCCTAGACTTCCGACGCTTGTTTTCTTCTTCGTGTGCGGGTCCTGGAGCCATCGTCCTCCTCCTGGGTTCCCGGCGGGCAGTTTTGCGCCCCATATCATTCAGGGGGAAAAGAAACACACAGACACAATTAATCGTCGACTCCCAGGAAAATATGCAAAAATATGGGAAGTGGGGGGGAAGACAAAAACCCAGAAAATATGGGAAAATATGGGGAATAGTTTTATTTGTGTGTATTTATTTGTGTGTCCTAATTTCCCTTTAATCATGTATGAGCGGTCTCGGAGCCTGCCAGAATGGCGCGGGGACGCCGTGACAGACCTCCGTTGATTAGTTTGTGAAGGCATCGGAGTTCTAGGCAATTAGGCGCATGGCCTCAGAATCGACCCCAGGATGCCTCGCTCTTGGCATCGTTCGGACGTGTGGTTTTTTGTTCCTGGGCGAAGGCCATTGGGGAGCCTCTCGGATCATCGTCGAACAATGCACGCACGAAGCCGAACAATGCACCAGCAATGGACGTCCGAGCGATGGCAAGCCCGGGGTGCGTTCTGGCCAGAGCTCCGAGGCGGGCCCCGCCGCGGCGACGGAGGAGGTACCCCGAGGCTCAGGCATTCCCGGGAGGCGTCTCAAGCCCGGCCTTGAACTTCGAGAGGGGCTCGGCGATCGGAGTGGGTGTGGTCATCCGAGGCGGGAAAAAAGGGTACCCACACCGCTACCCTTCGGCCCGTTTTCACCTTTGTGGGCCTCTTGGGAGGCCCCCCGTCGCCACCGCTCGATTCGCTTCGAAATCCTCGTCAGAACGCGCCCCTCGAGAGGCACGGGGAGTAGCGGCATCGGTACCCCTTGGTTTCGCCAGGTCGCGCTCGGTTGTGGTTGGCGACCTGCGCCGCTGGGGCTTGGGGGGTCACCGCCCTGTCGGCGCGCGGCGGGGAACTCCGCCGAGGTCCTCGCCTGCCCCCTGGGGGCGCGGGCTGCAAAGCGCACCCCTTGCAAGCCGCACCCTTTCTCTCGGAGGATGCGAAGTCCGTGCGGAGTGATCAAGTCCGTACGGAGTTCCCGGGCCCCCGTCCGGGCCACATTCCGTCTGGGCTTGGCCTCTCCTGAGCCCGTGCGGAGTGCGCCCACACGGAGTTGTCGGTCCCCGCCTGGGCTTAGCATCCCGTGTGGACTTCGCCTCTCCCAGGTCCGTGCGGAGCGCCTCTGCACGGAGTGCGTGGCGTCCGTCCGGGCCCGCTCCGTCCGGACATTTCGCCTCTCCCAAGTCCGTACGGGGTACGTCCGCACGGAGTGCTTGGCGTCCGCGTGGGTTTGCTCCGTCTGGACTTCGCCTCTCCTGACCCCCCCCCCTTTGGCGAACGAGCAGCGTGCGCCCATACCGTACCCCTAGGAGGGTCGGGTGGAGGGAGGACTGGCTGTGGGTATGGGTGCGGGTCGTCGGACCCTGCAGGGCACTCCCGCTCGAGCGGGGACCCTCGCCCGACAGCACGCACTCATAGTTAGCCCCCTCCGTCCAACCCATGGGTATGGGTGGTATGGGGTGCCTGTTGCTCGTTCGTCCGCCCCCCTTCTACGGCCGCCCGCTGTGTCCTGTACTCCCTCGCCTGCATGTGCTGGCCACTCCGCTACTACGGTGCCCCCGTTCAGTTAGATACCACCCGCCAGCGCAGACGACCCTTGCCCAGCCAAGGGCGCCCTCGAGGGCGCGAAGTTATTCGCGATTCGCGCTTCGCGCTTCGCGGTTCGGCTCCGATTCCTCTTCATCCTCCTCTTCTCCCCTGGGAGGCGGCGCGAGAGCGCGAAGGTGTTCGCACTTCGCGCTCCGCGCAGCGCGAAACGCGAAGTTGGGAGCCCCTGCCTGGCCGCCGACGAACAAGGAAGAGGTTTGTTCGCCCCCTCAACCCCCCACGCCGTCGGCCGTGCGGGCGCCGGCCGGGCACCCGCCGCGGCGTGTCCGAGGGGGCTCTGCCACCCCCCCCGGTGCCGAGCAGGGCCCTCTGCGGAAAAAGGGGGGAGCCCTCTCTCTGCGAGTCGAGGTACGGAGAGAGGGCAGAAGCAGAGCCCAGTGTCACCAGCCGGAAGCACGAGTGATCGGCTCGCTTCGGGAGCCTCGGGACGGGGGTCAATGCAAACGGGGGTCAGCCAGGGCACCGGATCCTGCAGGATCCTGCGACGACGCCCTCCTGGCTGACCCGGGTCAGCGAGCCGCTCGTGGCCGCGAGGCGGCCGCGCATGTTGGCTGGCCCGGGTTTGCGAAGACCTGCGCTGCAGTTTTTTTTTCCCCTGCATTGCAGTGTTTTGGTTTCCTGCTCACCCGGGTCTGGATTGACCCGGGTCAGAAGATCCCCGATCTCTTCTTCATGGTTTTGACGATCGGCGCCGGCCCTCGCGCCCCCTCGCCCCCCCCCCCCATGGAGTAGATCTTGGTGGTTTCTTTGGCGCCTGTTTTGAAGCAGGTGGAGTCCCCCCCTCATGGCGGACGGACTCTTGCAAACAGACGCGTTCGGCAGAGGTCCGGAGCCAGACACTCCCCCCTCCTCCCCCATTCTCCGCCCAATGTCGAAGCGCCGAATGGGAAAACGTTCGCTGTCCGTACACGCTGGCCATTGAAAGTACATCTCTGTTCGTATTCCAAGATCCCAACCTGTTTTCAATCAACCATCGTTTGTCCCTGTTCCTCCATCTACTTCCAACGCTTTCTCACCTCATGTTTCTGCTGACTTTTTTCCGACCGACGTGTACCCTTATGGTTGGCATCTTCTGATCTCGGTGCCGATCTTCTGGACTCCCAGATCCCAACCTACTTTAGGCGCTTTC